CCCCCGCCCCGCGCAAAAACCCCCGTAATTAAACCCTTTTCAGTTATCGTGATCAAAATGTTTTATTTTTTGGTTTTGTTCTTTTTGTTTGATAATACAGACCTGATTATTAACAGGAACATAAAATTAGAATAATAGTCATCTTGCCCATTCTTGCTCAAAGATATTTTGAATTTGGAAAATAGAGGAGTGTAAGAAACTGTTAATGCCCTTTTAAATTTAATTCTAAATCGAAGCTATAAGATGCATATGTGGACATTTTCAGTAAGAAATCACTATCCTTTTAATACTTTCGTGTTTTTAGCTGGAGCTCCTCCAGTCCAAGATTTTGATCCCTACCTGACACATTCGCAGGTATTTTCCAGGCCACCGTACAACACTGTATATAAGTATTGCTGGGAGAAGTCAGATTCTGCTCCAGGAAGCCCAATGGGTAGTGTTTATCCCTGGGAATTAAAGACAGAAGTTCTGAAGTTTTTCAGAAAAAAGTGGAATATAAATTTAAAGGAGCCACTCATCTAAGCAAGTAAGCAAACAGACAAATAACATTTAGTTAATTGAATATTAATGGGGCTTATTCTGTGTACTCTCCACTGTTAGGGGAGCTTTTAACTCCCGCTTACAATCAATGGATACATTTCACAATTTATTACAAAACGAACACCCAGGAACATAGAAAGAATGTGGCCAATGATTTAAACATATGAGAAAATCCCCATCCAACTTTCACCAATTTCTGATTCTCTTTGGCATTATTATTTTATAATTTATTATGATTAGTTATTATTGGGTACAGAATTCAAAATACCCAGACATGAGAAAATTCTATTTCCTGTTCACAAATAAAACAAATAGGAAGATGCCAAGAAAGATAGAAAATCAATTTCAGAATATGGCTGTTTATATATTATATTTCAAATTCTGCACGTGTGTTTTTGTTAAAAAACGTCAACTGGAAGCAAAGCGGCCCTTAGCCAGGTATTATGACCCTGGGTAAGTTCTGACCAGAACAAGACCAACAGACTGATGCTTCCCTGTGGCTCCAGGGTTTTCCTTCCTTCCTTTTAAAGTCCAACTATGTTTGACTTGCAAGCAAAGATAAGATCAGCATTTGAAGTATGGTAGTATGCCTGAAGGGCAAAGTTCAATATTTTGTTTCATGGCAGGAATAATACAAGCCCACATTTATTTTTAAGTAACCTAAGGAAATCAATAAACTATAATCTTTTTCGACTTTGTAATTTAGCTTGACTTAAGTGAAGTGCTGGAATAATTATTAGGTTTTCTTTTTGTAAGTATCTTAGTTATTTGTTGTTTATTTATTTATTTATTTATTTATTTATTATT